AAATCTGAAGAGGTGGCGATAATATTGTTGATGATAATGGCAATGATACGTACATGCCGACGGGCATGGCATATACGTACATGCCATGCCCACTGTGAGTACTGCCACCAGTGAGTCAGTTATGAGTACTGCATGCCTCGCCCGTTCAACCTTTTCATTGATTTACAAAAATATTTTACGTTATCTTATTTTGTTGTGACTAATGTTTATAACATTATAGTAATTATAATATTTATAATAAAGATAACATCATCGATAATCATAGCACTAGTAAAAAATACGTTTTTTCCCGCCAAATCAGGTAAGGTTACAAGACCTACTAATTGACTACTTTGTGGCTAAGCACTAACAGAGCCATCTATATGCAGAGAGATGAAAGATACGTGGACAGACGCCAAGCTAAAAAAATAATGAATAAATAAATAAAAATACCGATATTTCGGTAGATTGAAGTAAGTTATCAGTGTCACGTGCTACTTGGGGCTCAATAAGTTTTCTGTTCCCCTGCCGAACACAAAGCAAGATACCATCATCCGGAGATAACAGCCTACCAATTTAATGGCCCTCCGTGATAACAACTCAACGGTGTAACGGCCTACGCAGTTAACGGTTACCAATTTCAACAGCCCATCATGACAACCCACCAATTCGACAGCTCCATAAGACAACAACATAACAACATAACACCCCATCTAGATATCGGACCACCAGGTCAACAGTTCATCAAGACAACGTATCACCTGTTCAACGGCCCATCAAGATAGCAGGAAACCTATATACTAGTCCCCCAGGTTATTTACTTATTACCATAGAAACTCTCTTGAGATATCGATTAGCAATGAAATCCACTAAGATAGTAATTAGCAATGAAATCTCAATCACATCAGCCACAGAAACAGCAGCCTACCAACATGCCAACCCACCAGTTCAAATTCACCTGTCATAGCGACCACAGACTCACTAACATAATCGATAACAATTTCCCAAAATATTCAAGGAACGCATCACATTTCATTAACTTAACCCACAGATACACCACGAAAATAATATAATACCTTAATTCAAAGACCGTGTAATTTCTGCCAACTCTCTTGTTGTGTATCGATATTACTATTGTTATCGCTCTCATCCTTTTAAATATTATCATTTTCACAATTGTTACTATTAATATTCAATGTATGTACCAGTTTGCCTTCCTGTTATATAATGTACATTGGTTCTTCCCCACAAAATCGACCAAAGAAAATATGACAACCAGTGCACCAAAACCACCTTCCAAAGCCTAACAGCAAAACATAACCTTGGGTTGTTCAGCACGATACGACAGTACGTTGATGTGCACGCCTTATGTCATGCTATTTTGTTTCATTCTCATTCACACTTAACTTGAACCAAGATGCAAATTGTCCAAGCGCATGCGGACGTGTTTTCTTGCACATAGCTAAACACCCGCGTTCGTTTGAGAGAAAAAAAAGAAAAAGAAAAAGCCTTATCGTGGAGATAGATGGAGTTTTAAAAGGAACGTATGAATCAGTCTGTTGAAAGTGATATTGATAGTTCAAACGTTCCAGTAGTTGAGGAAGTGATTCTGCAGTTTGTGAACGGCTGAAATAAAATTGGTAATGGTATTTTTAGTAATAACGGAATACTATTAGTAATGTCCATGCAATATATTACCAGTAATTAAGAAGTGATATTTGTGATGACTAATATGAATAGTAAAGGTTAAATGATATCAGTATCAGTTATGGCGATTTAGCATTGAATTTACATCATTCATAGCGAAATAACGAAATCATAATCCTTAATTATGACTACACGGTATCACTACAAAAAAGTTCATATTTAACCCTACATGGCGTATTGCAAATATATCAGTCTGCTTAGCTTCTATTTTCATAAGATTTACATACGAGTAATTGTTTGCAACAGAAGTCAATAAAATGAATCTATATATTTTTTACAGTATCTGATTATTCACTGATAAAAATAACATGAAATTCATAAAATACTGAAGGAGAAAACAGTGTCTGAGTTGTCAAATGGAATTTTATCGAGGAAGGAACATCGTATAGCTCTTTTACCATTTCTTTCATTTTTTTATTTTTTTCTTTAATACTACTCCTAAACTAACTGTGTGAGTGAGTGAGTGTATAGATAAGCACACACATATTCATAAATGTATGTATGGATACACACAGACACTCACACACGCACGCGCACAACCCCCCCCCCCCACACACACACACACATACATATATATGTATTCAAACATACATGTATGTGTATATATATTTATACCTATATCTATCTGTCTATATCACTATCTATCAATGTCTCTATCTATATATGTATACTTATATATAAGTATGCATGTATGTATGTATACACATATGTAAAGATATTTATGTATATATATATACATAAATACACACACATCTATATACATATATATATGTATATATACATATATATATATATATATATATATATATATATA